TTTTAATAATCAATTTCATCTGTTATTTTTTGTCTTGGAACTTCCTTTCATATAAAGATTTGGTAATGGCACTCTCTTTTGTTTTCCTATGTTATGTACTTTCCCTTTGAAAATGGAAGAAAGGAAGGATAGCAAAAAGTAATTATTTCATTAGGAATGTTTCATAATGAAAAAGATAGGTTTCTTCACTCAAAGTATTATTTTAATTCAATCTCCCCATTCTGAACTGTGATGTGTGTGTATATATGTGTTTCTATATGGCTTCCACTACTTTTAGATCCAAAATCTGGTTGTTGCTGAAAGGGTTGAATTCCTCTTGGAGCTAGTTGGTAGTTCATTATAATTTAATGTTTCCTGCCTCTGAGTAGCCCACGTGGTATTTGACTTTCCTCAGTGGCTGATTGGCTAATTTTGTGGAATTAGAGTTGCTGTCTTCAGGGAAGTATTTCTGACATTAATTTTTAACTGAAGAAATCTTACATTTCAAGTTTTCTTTAAATAGATACCAGATTGTCACCACATATTTCTGAGGGTTTTTTTAATTAATGAAAATTTTCAAACATACTAAAAAATAGAGAGGAAAGTATAATGAATCATAGTATAATCCATACCTAATTCCATGAGTTACCAATTCATGGTCAAGCTAATTTTATCCACTCACTTTATTTTGAAAAAAGTCTCAGATATACGATTTTGCTATAACATTATTTTTTGAAAAATAACATTATATTCGTTTCAGGTATACAATATGATAGTTTGATATTGGTATGTATTGTGAATTGATCACCACAATAAGTCTAGTTAACATCTGTCACAAAACATAGTACCAAAAATTTTTTGTCTTTTGATTCAGACTTTAATATCTACTCTCAGCAACTTTCTAATATGCAATATGGTATTATCAACTATAATTACCATGCTATATATTACATCCCCATTACTGAATTCTTTTATAATGTCAAGTGTGCTAGAACTTATTTTTACGTACAAAAAAATAATTAATTTTTTATAGAATTTATGCCACCAGTGGATTCTTATTTATGAGAAAAACTGAAGTAAAAAATATTAAACAATAATTAAAGCACAAATATTATTCAAGAATGTTGCAATCCTTTCATTCAACAGATTTGTCAAGCTAGTAGTCACCTCAGTTTAAGTATTTTCCTTTAGCTCTCTATGAACAGACAGGAAAGGTTCTCCAGGGTCTTAAAAGCAAGAAACAAGATACAGGACAGTGTAAGAAAGTCACACATAAATAACTAAGCATTTTGACACTTGCTTCTATANCCTACTCTTCTCAAAATGGAAAGTGATGACGTTTCTCATGCCTCATCCATGCTACCATTTAGGTATTTTCTTTTCTCTAAAAATGATTATATCTAGGAGAATGGAATTCAGCTGAACTGCCTCCAAGGGGGATTTGTGTGCTTTTTCTCTCAGCTCAAGATTTAACTAATGTTCATCTCACAAGAGCAGTTGCTCCCCAAGTCTGCGGTTCAGAAAAGTTTAGTTCATGTACCATTTCTTAAGCACCAGATGTGTGCTAGGCCCTGTGCCTAGTGCTGGAAACACAGAGATCAAATAAAATTCCTGCTGTTGGAGTTCAGATGCTGGCAGGGGACACAGATGAGGAAACAGTTACAATACAATGGACTAAGTATTGAGATTGACTGAGGTCAACAGATTGTGTCACAGTTCAGGTTGAAGAGTGGGCAGAATGGTAGCATTGAGGGAGGCTGGTAGGGGAAGCTTAGATAAACTGAACATGCACCAGAATGCATTCATTAACTGACTATGAATGGGAGTTAGTCAAGTCTTAGTCAGAAGCACAGTGTGGACACAAATGAAAAAATGTGAACAATGAATTCTAAATAATATTTTGGCTGTGTGATATAGTCTGTTATTAGAGGATAAAATACAAGGCTGGGAGCAGCAGCAAAAGCTAGACATGACACAGGGAATCTTCTCCTATCTTATCACACCTTTGGGGATCTTATTACTTCCCAGCCCAGAAGCCAGGGGAGGGATTCCCAACATCATTTTAAGTCCTCAGAGAGAAAACACAATGTCTGTTTTACTTGGGAAATCAGCATTCCCCCTGAGTGCCACGCAGAGTGAAGTTGGATGACAACCATGGCCTTTCTATAGCTGGCCAAACTCCATCCTTTCTCTCATTCCCATTGTGTTACCCCAAGACTTTTGCAGCTACCTGGCTTGGGGTGGTTGACAAATGAAGGTAGAAACATTCCAAGTCAGCCCTTATTGAACGGAAGTCGGTCTCCTTTCCAGATTTATCAGGCACAGAATCTGGGAAATTTCTATTGAATTGCCAATCTCCCTTGGGTCTTTTAGAAATTACTTTCTTCTCTCTCTCTGTTTTATCTCCTCACCATGTGGATGTCTTTTCTCTAACAGGCACTGCTGCTAGCTGGGCTCCTCATATCTGGATAGGCAAATCCTCATTTTGGGGCATCTCCATTGGAAACTGAAGTTATGTGTGAAGAATCCTACCCTTCAAAAGAGGGGTTGGTTAGAAACCAATGACTTCTTCAGCCTTCTCCCTGCACTCAGGTTAAAGCCAGGAGTCAGGGAGGATGGGGCCTGAAACAGGAATACTGATTGTACATAAAACTCATCAACAAAAAAAGTGAAGATCAGCCTTCAAATGAAACAGTTCGCAACCAGTAGAGATGAAAGGAGTATAGGTAAGTGCATTGAGCCTCTTCATGAATACATGAATGGTTTAACCCCTCCATAGCCACCCTTTGCCTTCCAGGCCCATCTTCTTCTAGTGATCTACCTTGGAGCATTGTAAATCCTGGTCCTTCAATGTGTCATACTTCAAGTAGGCCTCCTCAGGCCTAAGGCAGTGAGCATGTTGCAGGAGACACTCAAGGTAGGCTGCGGTGGCTGACCTGCTCATGGCTGTAAGAAGGTGCAGCATGATCCGGCCTCCTTCGGATCAGAAAACTCTCTGGTTACAAGGTAGAAGAACAGCATCTGAGGAATTATACCCAGGAGGAAAGCACAAGAGAAGAAGCAGATTATCCTCAGGAACCCCAAGGATGCCAGGCTATTGTCAGCCTCATAGTGCTGTCAGTATGGGAAAGGACTCCAAGATGGAGCACGGCATTATTCATAAAAATGAAGAGAGAATTCTTGCAGGGTGATCCCCACCCTCATGGACATCAAAGACATTCAGGGGTAGGTAGGAGGAATTCTTCCTCTATTTGGGGTTGAAACTCATCTTCCTTTCTCTTAAGATATAGTTATGTTCAGTTCAATGGACTGAATATTTTCAGAGAGCCAGAAAGAGTTCCCTTTGGGGTGACCATTCCTATCTCATTCCACCTGGCCCCTTAATAATTATTTTTTAGTTTTTGTTTTAGGCACCACCTTTCTCCAGAATACTTTGTGTCTTTCTGTGTCTGGCTCCCTTTCTGTGTTCCCCCTTGGGCACTGTACTTATCTGTGACCTTCCACCTGTGACACGTTAACTTTTCTGATATTCTTATTAGGTAGTGAGCTACATGAGGGCAGCAACAATGTCTTCCTCATTTCTGAATTACCAAATATAGCATCTGGTACATAATCAACACAGACAAAAATTGAGTGATTTTTACTGACAGTAAGGCAATTTCTATAGCAGCTGAGAATCCCTAAGGAGAAAGACCATAGAATTGCTTTATCCTGGACAAAAGGTACTAAAATTTTCTTGCTCGGGTGGGATCCACAGGTGAAACTTTTTAGGTAAAGAACTTGTTTCCTGGGAACGAAGACTTCTGGGACATGTGAGAGAACAGGGCTGACAGAGAAACGCATCAAGTCAGAATTATGCTTTGTATGGCTAAAGTGAATCAGAATCCTCTTAATAACTGGGGTGTTTTTACAACAAAATGTAGGTCTTCAGAACTAGAAGGACTTAAATCAGATGGAACGGACTTCATTTCTGATTCCATTAGTAATTACTAAGAATTCGGAATTCTGTCTCTGGCACATCATCTAATAGAGCCCAAGTTTGTGAAAGGGCCTTAGATTGGTATCATGGACTGAAAAAGCTTAAGAAACTCATCTTAATATGCCCCATAATCCTTAGCTTGAAGTTGACACTAAATAAATAGATGTGGATACCTGACCGACTGACTGTAGTTTACCCATGCATCCCTGTAGTTTATCAATGCAGTTTATACCTATTCTCCCCTTTAAATGCCATAACTTGCTTTAGACAGGCAAGGACTTTGTGACAAGCTGTGTTCAGCTGGACCCTTGGGGTGCTGGAGAAATTCTCCATGAAAGGGGTAATTGCATATTGATTGATGTACTAATGGCCTAGAATCCTATGACTCATCCTACAGCAGAGCAGTTGAAGGACAAATGGGATGGATGCATCAATATTCTTCCAAGGGATGTGGTAAGCCAAGCCTAAACCCTGGCACCCTAACTTACAGGGCTTTCTCTACCACATCATTTTGTCAGCTAAGTGCTGGAAACCCTTTTAAGCCCTTTGTACTATTATTTCACTTGCTCTTCACAGCATTTTACATTTGAGGAGCACAGAGGTTGGGTAACTTTTCCAAGGCTATTCAGCTAGTAAGTGGAGATGCTGGAATTAAAAGCAAGGCAGTCTGGCTGAAGTTCTGATCTTGTTTGAATGGGAATCATTACTCATGACATCATTTTCCTATTTTTTTTGCTCAATGATACTGTTACCATATTAACGAGGAATCGCTGTTTAAGACCTGAGAAGAGATCTTAAGATGTGCAGATGGAGGCTCCTGGTCATCTTCGTACTTAAGTTTTAGCTACCCTTTCTAGAAAACTTTCTCCATCTCTAAAATAAATTAAATGAGGACCTCAGGTCCTTCAAATCTTAATAGAATCTGTGGCTGGAGAAAGTGGGGATATATGTGCTGTCATGATATAATAAATTTCAGGATTGCTCTGGAGAGGCCCTCTCCTCACCAGATCATGTTCATGTTGTTGCACAGGTGGGAAAGATAATGGCGCCTGGTGGGAACCAGAGCAGTGATGTGATGGAGTTCATCCTGGCAGGTTTCCCCCATCTCAAGAGCACAAAGGCAGAACTGTTTTCTGTCTTCCTTCTGATCTACCTGCTGACTCTAACAGGCAATGCTCTGATTGTCGGGGTGGTAGGAGCTGATACTCACCTACAGACTCCCATGTACTTCTTTGTGGGTAACCTGTCCTGCCTAGAGATCCTGCTCACTTCCGTCATCATTCCCAAGATGCTGAGCAATTTCCTCTCAAGACAACACACGATTTCCTTTGCTGCATGCATTACCCAATTCTATTTCTATTTCTGCCTTGGAGCTTCTGAATTCCTGCTGCTGGCTGTCATGTCTGTGGATCGCTACCTGGCCGTCTGTCACCCTTTGCACTACCCCTTGCTCATGACTAGTGCTGTGTGCTCGCGGGTGGCCTTGGCCTGCTGGCTGGGTGGCCTCCTCCTTGTACTTGGCCCCATGATGGCTGTGGCCCTGCTTCCTTTCTGCGAACAAGATGCTGTGGTGCAGTACTTTTTCTGTGACTGTGGCCCACTGCTGCGCCTGGCATGCACCAACACTGGGAGGCTGGAGGAAACTGACTTTGTCCTGGCCTCACTTGTTATTGTCTCCTCACTGATGATTACTGCTGTGTCCTATGGCCACATCGTCCTGACTATCCTGCACATCCCCTCTTCTTCAGGCCGTCAGAAGGCCTCCTCTACCTGTACTTCTCACCTGATGGTGGTGACCCTCTTCTATGGAAGTGCCATTTTTCTCTATGTGCGGCCATCACAGAGTGGCTCTGTGGGTACTAACTGGGCAGTGACGATGGTAACAACATTCATCTATGCCTTGCGCAATGAGTGAGTCAAGGAAGCTCTGAAGGACCTGTTCAGGAAGCTGGTCCCAGGATTTTGGGGTAATCTTTTACTTGCTAAGAGTTTTGATAATAAAATAGTGAGGTGAAAGTGTAGGAATGTAATAAGTAGTCTTAAGTCCAAGTCTTGGCCATTGTCACTGTCTTCCCTCTCATCATCACAGACATCACCAAATGACAGAATGCCAGAGCCACTAAAGAACTCCAAAGTCATAACTCTACCCTTCTTCTCTTTCATGCAAAATTCCTTGCTTTTATCTCATACATAAATCCATTAAAGATACATGTAAATAAAGAAATACACATTGATGTATCATAATCAATGCCGTTATTACATCATAAGACCCTCCAACATATGAGATCTTAACAGAAGGGTCCATGGTCACCAGGGAGTCTAAGCATGGGCTTCAGAAAATTTATAAGCCCCATGAGTATGTAAATTGTATGTGTTTGAACCTATATGCACTTGTCTGGGAAGAAGATCTGTAGCTTTAATCAATTCTTAGATCTATAGGTGACCTTCACCAAAAGTTAAAAACTGATTAAAATTCTAAGTAGAGTTTTCCAATTATTTATGAGCATCAAGAATTTTAAGAAAAATTTCATTGTAATCATAAAAATTTTTAAATAGATTATCTGGATATTTTTGTATAGACTTACCAAAAAGAATTGCATTTGCTGTCAGATAGAAAAGAGACAAGTCAGATTTAACAAGGGATTTATTCACTTCTCCATGGCAATCCCAGGTACTTTTGGAAAAAAAGATCGAAGAAGAATTTCATGAATAACAGCATTTAATGTGGTTTTCTCATTTGCACTTTTTTACAAAGTTATTAAAGATATCGCTACACATTTTGTCACCAGACTGAGTTCTTAACATTTGTCCATCTTTTTACATTCTTATATCTGTTGTCCTCAATCTTCTTTTGTTTTTGGTAAAATCAAGATTAGGATATTGTTTTTTCATGTGAAAACTTCATAAGAGTTTCTATCAATAATAGCTTAATAAAATAATTAAGATTGGGATGAGGGCCTTTACTGGCAAAGAATTAGGAATGCCAGCTTTACCCACTAAGAAGCAGACTTTGTGATCCATTTTATCTACCTCATTGGGTATTTGAAAAGGAAAGGGGATTCCTATTTGTGGTGCCCTTTGAAATCTTGGACAAATATTCATTCATTTAACAAAGATCTGCTAAGCATCTTTATTGGATACTGTGATGTGCTGTCATATACTAAGAAGAACAAGAAATGGTTCCTAACCTCGAGCAGCTTTGATGTGAATGGGTGAGACTACAAGACAGGTAATAATTCAAAGGAATGGGAATGATAAGGGGGGGTTACACAATGATATTGGGGATTATATGAAAATTGATTTGCCTTCCTAGTATTTTCTTGTTAGGGAAGTTCTCAGAGGCTATCATTAAATAATTAATTCCATGTTAGAGGGTGTCTGTATACATAGAGACAGTGTTTAAAAAATAACAAATATCAACGTATGAACAGACGACCAGCCTTAAAACAGCTCTACAAAGTGGGCAAACTGAGTCTCAGCATGCAAAAAGATGACCATCAAGCTTCAGTGGGCACTGGAAATAATAATGCTTCATCTAGTTCTATTAGTAGTACACACAACTACACACTAAATATTTCTATCCTGAAAGATTTCGGAGTGAGAACTAAAGGTACAGAAGAAATGATCAGTGATTTGAGATGGAAAAAGAATTCTTCTGGAGTGATCTAGAAGTGTTGCCCAGAGAGCAAACGAAATATTGCCTTTAAAATGACCTAATTTTATGAGCACCATAACCTGAAGTCAATCTGAGACACTGGATAAATAGAGGAATTCAAGTAAAGGTTTATAGCACTTCAAGAAGGAATCACCCCCATATTTTGGCAATAAAGCAATTAAGCCATCTACTTTCAAAATTATTTTATTGTAGGGAGTTACATTGAACTCAATTTAATTCAATAAAAATTGAATACCATGTTCTGGGAAGTAAGTTACTATGGAGAGGTACAAAATACATGGACTTTGCCATCAAGGAACTCACAACTTTTGGGTGAAATATATAGATAATATATATAAAACCATGAGTCAAAATGCAATAAGATCATTGTAAAATTAAGAAGTGGATTGGATAGCAGGGGAAACCTGTGTGAGTAAGAGTGCCATCAAATGAAAGCAAATGAAGAATATAAAACCAAGCTTTAAGCAATAAAGGGACTGCATGTGATCATACTACTGAAATATCTGGAAGCAGAGCAGATTTCAGATTAGGCTTGGTCCAGGAGCTCCCTGCCTCTCTAGAATGTAAGCTCCATGTGGGCAGGAGTTTTTCTGTCTTGTTTCCTGCTGTGTTTCCTGTCTGTTATATTGTATGCAAAAGGATAGGTAGTCAAAAACTTCTTCTTGCATGGGAAATAGGATTATCTAAGTTTAACTAGATTAAAATGGAAGGCAAAAAACTGGAATAAAGCTATATATGACACACACAAAAGTGGGTCTAACAAGATGGCATTTTACAAATAAAAGATGAGTGCAAATATTAGGTAATTATATGTGATTAGGAATAGAAATATCACAACAAAAATTGTACCAGGGAGCAATCTGTGATTTTATTTTTTCAATCCTATTTTACAAATTCCTGTTCCATAAGGAAATTTTTTACACTTCATCTTAATCTCAGCAGTGCTTGGCACAACTGATTTTGGCCTCTTACTTGAAATAGTGTTGTTCTTTGGTTTTCTTGGGACCATACTTTCCTGATTTTCTCTTTACATTTCCAGTTGCTCTTTGTTTTTGTTTTGTTTTGTAGGTGTATCCTCTTCAATAAAGCCATTAAATATTACCAAGTTTTTAAGAAAATAGAAGTTATTCCCAGAGATCACAAATTAAGAGGTAGCTGAAGGACTGTATTGCAAACACCTAGAACAAAGGGTACATAGAAGGTGCCTAAGAAATATTTGTTGAATGAATAACTGGTGAGCAGATGATAGCCACTGCTCTGATAGATATTACTCAGCTCAAGTAACCAGAGTGTTAATAATCATTCCCACATTAGGCCTACTCCAGTGACTATTTGAAACTAAATCTTGCACATGCAACTAGAACACTTCTCAGATGCCTATTGTCAGTAAAAAGGTAGGCTGGAAAAAATTTTCCCTTGCAGCAAAGGAAGATAATCAACACATTTTCCTGTCTCAAGAAAGAAGTCATCCTTGAGAATTCTTAATTGAAGCTCTGCTTTCAAACACAGTATCTGTGTCATCTGGGAAACCCCAAGATAATATATTAATATAAGCATTGTTCCCAGCTGATAACACCCATAGGCACAATGAAGACAAAATCTCTCAGAACACTCTCATCCTCAACACAGGAGCACAAGACTCCCTTACATAAAACCTTCTTGAGCATAAGTGCACAATCCAAAATAAAAACACATACAAGGAATATTTCATCAAAGTTAAAATCTTTTGTGCTTTAAAGGATACATTCAAGACAGTATATTATCTCACAGAATATCAGGAAATATTTGCAAATAATAAATCTCATCAGGGACTTCTATAAGAACACCTATGTCTCAAAAATTCAAAGGAAGGATCCCAGTTAAAAAACGGGCAGTGTCTGAATAGACAGCTCTCCAAAGAAGTTAAGCAAATAGTCAATAAGCACATGAAGCTCAACACAACTAGTGATCAGGGAAATCAAATCAAACCACAGTGAGATACCTCTTTACACCCCCGTAGGAAAGCTATAATGGAAAAGACAGATAATAACAAGGATTGATGAAGATTTGAAGAAATTGGAACCCTCATACACTGCTTGTGGGAATGGAAAATGATGCATCCACTTTATAAAACAATCTTGCAGTTCCTCAAAAGTTTAAATATAGAGGTACATATGACTCATCAATTCTACTCCTAGGAATATGCCCAAGAGAAATGAAAAGTCTTGTGTGCACACAAAAATTTGTACATGTTGTTAATAGCATTATAATGCCAAAAAGTGGAAACAACTCAAGTGCCCATCAATCCATGGATGCATAAATAAAACATAGCATATCCATACAACAAAATATTATTTGACAATGAAAAAGGAATGAAGTACTGATTCATGCTACCACATGGATGAAACTTAAAAACTAAGTTCATTCATTTAATGGTAGGTGACAAAACCAGTCAGAAAAGATTGTAAGTTGCATGATTCCAATTAAATGAAATACCCAGAATAGGCAAATCTATATATACAGAAAGTAGATTAGTGGTTACCCAGGGAGAGGATTGGGAGGAAATGAGAGATTTTTAATGGGGAATGGTTTCTTTTTGGAGTGATAAGAATGTTCTAAAACTGATTGTGATTATGGTTGCACAACTTGGCAAATATACTAAAGAACTATGTAATTGTACACTTTAAATGGTTGAATGATCTTAATAAAGCTGTTAAATTACAAAAACTCATTTAATATCAAGAGTTGGTGGATAATAAAAAGCAGACGTAGACCCTTAAGAAGTTCAGATAACAAACCACTAGATATAGATTGTAAGTTAAGAATGTTAAGAATGATTAAAGAAATAAAAGGATCAATAACATGATAAAATGATAAAAAATAAAGGGGCAGTTTTAAAAACCCGACAAAAGTCTAGAATGAAAAATTATTGAAATGAAAGACTGAATACATTACACAGAAGATTAACAAGGCAAAGAGATATTTAGTACACTATGATAGATCTGAAAGTACACAAAATATGGCACAGAAAAAGACATAAGAAACCTGTAAAAGAAGCTAAGAGGTTGCCAAATACAAGTTTCATAAAGAGAGAACAGAAAAGAGAGTGGATCAAGTGGTGACTTTGTATTCTGTTGATTTATGTAAGATAGAACTATATTATCTAGAATTTTCTGTATGATAGATAATTTAGATAATTTTCTATAGGGCTATGGAGAAATTTGTAGTGAGATTTGGAAGGTGAAACATCACAAAACACA